ATGTTACTAAGTAAAATGTTGTTTACCTAATTTTTTTTGTTTCAAATATATATTTTTTTAATTAAAATTTTTTTCTCCTATATTTAATGATAAATAATTATTTTTATATATATATATTTTTTGTTTTTTATTTTTTATTTTATTTGTTTACTTATTTGCTTGATTTATATATTTATATATATATATATATATTTGAAAAAAAATATTTATAATAAAAACTCACCAAACTCTCCCAATAACGACTAGCCAGACCCTTCTTTAACCTCACAATCCATTTGCCACCATTAATATTAGTATCATCCTAATATTAAAAATATTATTTTATAATGATTAATATTTAAATTTTAAAATTATTAATTAATTAGTTTTTATAAAAACTATAAAATAAGATTCGTACCTCCCAAACTGGTCTAACGCCTTGCTTGAAAAGATGGTAGTCACTAATATTAGGTAACTCGTGAGGCTTTCGAAGATGACTATAAACTGCCCAAAAATCCTCTATCTGATATTTTTGATCAAAAAAAAAGTTTTTTTTTTATTATATGGCGCACATAGATCCAATTGAGTGTTTACTCGTTTTTTTAAACAATTAATTAATTGCTTGCTTGCTCTTTGGAAAGAATAATAATTAATTGTGAAAATTACATACTGAAGAAAAAGCTGCTATTTTCTTCATAGAACTTTCATAATTTAGTATTTTACTTCCCGGTGTTCGATGCATAAACCAAAAAACCCATGTAAAGTGTAGCGGGTGAATTTCATTGGTAGGACTAGGTATATACTGCTGACGCGTTAAACCAATTAATCCATTACCACCATTTCCATTTTCTTTTTCTTTGTTGTCTTTATCCTCTAAGTTTCCAATTCCTATAACATTTGAACGATTTTTAGAAAGATACCCACTCCCACCGCCACTACTAACACCGCCTGTGCCCATTACAAGTGGTGTAGTTGGTTTGATGATAACAGTAGAAGCGGCAATGCTACTCGTCATACCATTCGGAGAGTTAGTACGTTGAAGTTGAATTAGTTTTGTAGATGTTGAAGTTGTTGTTGTAGGCGTTGTTGTTGTTGTTGTTGTTGTTGAAGTTGTAGTTGTAGTTGCTGAATTGGAATGACTATGATCTGTGTTAACAGTTAAATTTTTACTAAAAAATATTGTTTTATTTGTGAAAATTTATTTATAGTTGATCAACCTTTTTTAAATAAAAGTAATTTTAAATCTATAATAAAGGAATGGTCCTAATAAATTACCGTGTTTTCCAGACGTTTTCCATTAACTATTTAGAGTATTATTTATTAGTATTTATATAATTAATTCTATTTTATACAGTTAAATTATAAAAAATTTTAAATAAATTTTATTTTTTATTTTGAAAGAATTTTAAATGTAATTTTTTTTTATTAAAAAAAAATGAGCAACAATAATTTGGTAATCTTTATCTTGTATGTGCTTTTTTTTTGTTTTTTGGGGGCAATTATTTTATATGCGGGGTTCCGAAAAAAAATGACGTTACACGTAAGACATTTGAAGGAGGATTTTTTCATCCGGGTTAACAGTAAATATAGGTTAATATATTAAAAACATTTTATTTAATTTGAAGGATGAATTGTTTCAAATTGTGATTTATCTGGCTCATTCTTTACCAGTTTTATTTAAGATTGAACAAATTTTCTCCTTGATCATTGCTTTTGAAGTATGTCCATGTCCAACTATGTTTTTGTCTATAGATGCTGGTCGCAATTCTTGGTGATGGTTGCAACCACCTTTGCGACCACTTTGGTTTCCTTTTTTGGATTGCGACATGGAACACTAACTTTTGTCTGTTTAATTTTTGATTTTTAATGGTGGTTGTTGTTGTTCATTCGAAGGCAAATTAACCATATTTCACAGTGAAAAAAGAAAATATTTTTAAACAAAGTAATGTAGGGAAATTTATTGATAGATTTGAACACTAACATCTGATGTTTTCCTTAAAAGGATTGAAAATTGTGTAATTTTTTTTTAATAATTATTATACAGTCTAAGCTCTCTATAATGAACACTAAGTAAAATTTCTCTATAAACAAATTTCCCTTTTGTCTCTGGTTCAATTTTTTATAATTAATTTCTCTCTCTATAACAAATAAAGATGGGAACCACAATTAGCTGTAATTCAATTTTCATATGCTGTAACCACACTCAGTGGACAAAAGTTTGCGCCCAAAATTTCTTTTGAACTTATTTCAAAATTATACCAATTAAAATATTGTAATCTTTATATCATTCAAAAGCTCTTGTTCTTAATATTATGTTTGTGATATTAAATTATGAAGTTTTGTTATGAAAAAGGACAAAAAATAAAAAATGATGTAAAAATAACAAAATGTTAATAGATAAAAGCGTATTCTTTATTTCAAAAAAATATTATTTAATATCTAGTGGGCCAACCATCATTGGCAATGCAGTCTTCGACCCTTCGGGTCATACTGTCAATTAAATTTAAGTAATTTTCACGAAGAATTTGTTGCCATACCTCTCTCAAAAAAAGTTCCAATTCATCTTTATTTTTTGGATGTTCAGGACGTTGCTTTAATCTTCTACCAAGTTCATCCCATAGATGTTCAATGGGATTAAGATCTGGAGATTGAGAAGGCCAATCTCCAGAATCTTTAACTTTTTCTCAGATATCTATTTTTTAACATTTTTAGCCATGTGGACAGGCGAGTTATCATATGAAATTTGTAACTTTTTCTAGAAAATTTTTCTTGAATGAATGGAAGCAATTGATTTTCTAAAATATTTATATAATCTCTATGGTTCATTTTTCCTTCTACTCTTACTAATGATCCCAATCCTTTAGCTGTGAAGCAACCCCAAACCATAATCCTACCTCCACCATGTTTTATAGAAGGAGCCAAATTTTCGAGTTCCCTTCTCATGCCATACTTTGTTGGTCCATCGTTGCCAAAAAAAGTGAATCGACTTTCATCACTCCATATGACAGTCCTCCATTGTCTTATTGTCCAATCTCGCCGATTCATACACCACTCAAGTCGATTTTGTTGTTGCTTTTCATTAAGAAGTGGTTTTAACGCCACATTATGAGAATGAATACCAATTTGATTCAAAATTTCTATAAATCGTTTTAACAGAAACATTTATACCAGTGTCTTCATTAAGAGAATTTTCGTATACCATCAGCTGCAGCTCTATTATTAGTTTTAACAATTTCCTTCAAAACACTTTGTTCATTACCACCAACCAATCTGGGTCGGCCGCTTCTTTTTTTTCTTAAGGGTGCTTTGGAAGCTGAATTGTATTTTTAACAGTTGAAATTGGAAAACCAAGTATGTCACTAATTTCTTTTCTCGTACCGCCTTTTAAAAGGCCAATGATTTGTGATCTTTCAATTCACAGTTCTTTCCCATTTTTTCAAAATCAACATTTTCACGATTTTTACATCATCTTTTAATTTTTAATTTTTCATGACAAAACTTCAAATTTAATATTACGAATACATTCTTGAGAACGAGAGCTTTCGAATGACGTAAAGTTCACAATATTTTAATTAGTATAATTTTGAAATAAATTCAAAAGAAATTTTGGACGCAAACTTTTGTCCACCGAGCGAAAGGATTGTTTTATGATTTTGAATTGATTCCTTGAGGATTTGTAAGGTCAACATCATGAAAATAAAAAAAAACAAGTGGAATCAAAAAAATTTTCCAAATGATTTATATTATAATCATGTAGTTCTCCACAAAAATATCCGCAGCATCATGAGAATATCCAATTTTATTGTTGGGTTGTGTGTGTGTTATCCTTATTTAGAAATAGAATTGGCGATTGCGGATATTTTTTGTGGATAACTACTGTACA